TGAGAGCACACGCGTGTGCACCACCAAGTCTCCAATGCCTCTGCGGCCCCTCCTTTCCCAGAAAAGCAAGATTTGATCAGTTCAGCTTCCTGGAGCCAACCCACATCCAGAGTTGTGCTGTCTGGTTTCAATTATGCTTGGCCCATACCTGTCTCCTTCCTTGTTTTTTCACTGATTGATTATTTGATATAACATGCCATGTAATTTTATAAGCCAGGACAAGTGATCTTCCTGGAGGCAGTGAGGTCATAACTCCATGAATTTGCATGTTATCAGTACACAATTTTTAAAAAGCTTCGTGCAGAGCAGCATGAAAGAATAACCAGTCTCTAGTGTTTGTTGTTCACACACCTGCACCCTCCTGCGTGACTCTCACCATTCCATCCCAGATCTGGTGGGACTCACTTCCTCAACTGATGGCATGAATCGTACTGCTCCGAGCAAAGCACGTCCAGAAGGTCAAAAAGTCACCAAAACCTGTAGCATCACAACCTCAGAGAATACAACAGCTTCTGTGTAAAGCTGGTCTTCAGTCATGGACCCTCCCAATCCCAATCTGGGAGTCCTGGTAGACAGCAAAATGACAATGAGTAAGCAGTGTGCTCTTGTGGCCAGGAAGGCCAATGGAATCCTGGGCTGTAGAGGGAAGTGTGGCCAGTAGGTCGAGGGAAGTCATTCTCCCCCTCTACTGTGCACTGGTGAGGCCACAACTGGAATACTGCATCCAGTTCTGGGGTCCCCAGTTCAAGAGGGACAGGGAACTGCTGGAGAGAGTCCAATGAAGGGCAACGAAGATGATTCAAGGATTGGAGCATCTCCCTTATGAAGAAAGGCTGAGAGAGCTGGGACTCTTTAGTCTGGAGAAGAGAAGGCTGAGGGGAGACCTTATCAATGCTTATAAGTATCTAAAGGGTGGGTTGAAGGAGGAGGGAGCCAGACTCTTTGCAGTGGTTCCCAGTGAGAGGACGAGGGGCAACGGGCACAAGTTGGAACATAAGAGGTTCCCCTCAAATATGAGGAAGAACTTCTTCACGGTGAGGGTGACAGAGCCCTGGAACAGGCTGCCCAGGGAGGGGGTGGAGTCCCCTTCTCTGGAGATTTTCAAGCCCCACCTGGATGCTCCTGAGTAACATGCTCTGACAAGCTCTAGGCAATCCTGCTTCAGTAGGGGAGTTGGCCTAGATGATCTCTATGGTCCCTTCCAACTCTAAAAATTCTGTGAAATTCAGTGAAATACAGTATTATTTCAGGGAAGGAACTCAGTCCTGGCTCTACTGAAACTTGGCAACAAACATCTCGTTATGAAAGGCCCGCGTTACTTCCTGCTGGGTGGATAATGCAAAAAATAGGGTCTCAGGTAGAGAATGTCTCTAAATTTGGCATGTGATTCTCCAACCCCTGCTCCTCTGAGAGCTGCATACAGCCAACCAAGGCTGCCTTGTGAGATGGTTGAAGCCTTTTCTGCTTCTGCAGCAGCACCAGAAGAACATGAGGTTCCTTAAAGGTACCTGCACATGGCTATTCCTGAAGGGACTGCGGTGCCTCTCCCACAGCTGCTGAGACAGATATATCTGTGTTGGGATGACTGTCTGAACCCTGACATCTGTCTCATGGCCAGAGCAGAAGAATTTGTTGAAATTCCTGCTTTTCTGGTACCTAGGAAGACATACCAAACAAGAGAGAAGAGGTAAGATCTTCTCTTTGTTTTTTCCAGGAAGAAATGAAAAGGTGATTCTTACAAGAATGACCACTTCTGAGACCTTGAAGGCTTTTCAGTTGAGGTATTTATTCTGGCTGCTGAGCCATGGCCAGGGGCAGTGTGGAGCTGGATGTACAGGACAGACCTCCCCATCCAGCCTCCAAGTGACCCCTTGCACCGACGGCTCTGCTCATCTTCCTCCATGCAGTCTATGAGGATGAGAAGTTGGGAGCCCCCGGCAGTGCTTCAGTGGGATCCCTCGAGAACTGAGCCAGGAACCAGTGTGGAGGGCTGGGTTTCATGCCTGGTTGTCTTTGTGCACCTTTGTGACCCTCCAATCCATGCTGGATCTCAATGGGGAACTGCTGGGTTGGGCATCAATGCCAACAGAGCTGGAGGATGGCCTCCATCACAGGTCACAGAGCAACACCACAGTCAGTTACTAACTGGACTCCTTTGGCAGCGAGATGTGAGCAACCATGGAGCAGGAGAACACAGGGATCTGATAAACCCGCTGGTCCCTGCCCAGAGCTGCAGCTACCTCTGTCCTGAACTGTCCTAGGCCTCGGCTCAGGGCTGCTCCGAAAATTCAATATTACAGTTGGTGCCAGGGACTCCCAGATGGCTCTAGACCATTAGAGGGTGTCGGGCTCTTGGCTGGGCACCACAGCTCAGCTCTCAGGTATGATAATCTGAGCTGTGCTTTGTGGAGCAGCTGAAGAGCTGGCTCAGGATTCTGAAATATGCCGTTTCTTTGTTGTTCTCAGTATTTCCCCCCCGAAAAAGCGAGAAACCAGATTATCTGGTCATTTTGCGGTAATAACCTCGGGCCCTTGATGTTAGAGGGAGGAGTACCAGGAGGAATGCAGTGAGGTGAGTATGACACCAAATCACAGCGTGTTGTGTTTTCAGATGCTGTACCCTCAACAGCGCCAAGATCAAAGGGGTTTTGCTTGGTCTGATTATAGAATCAAAGAATTGTCCATAGAATTGACCTTTAAGATCATCTAGTCCAACCATCAACCTAACTCTGATAAAAACCATCAGCAAACCATGTCTCTAAGCACTATGGCAACCCAGCTTTTGAATCCCTTCAGGGATGGTGCCTCAACCACTGCCCTGGGCAGCCCATTCCAAGGCTTCATAACCCTTTCAGTGTAAAAATTGTTCCAAATATCCAATCTGAACCTCCCCTGGTGCAACTTGAGGCTGTTTCCTCTTGTCCCATCCCCTGTGACTTGGGAGAGGAGACTGACCCCCACCTCTCTACAACCTCCTTTGAGGGAGTTGGAGAGAGAGAGGTGGTCTCCCATCCTTTTCTCCAGGCTGAACAGCCCCAGCTCCCTCAGCTGCTCCTCACTCCTAGACTTATTTTCTAGACCAGTCACCAGCTCTGTTGCCCTTCCCTGGACTCACTCCAGCACCTCAATGTCTTTTTTTGTGGTAAACGGCCTAAAACCAGACATAGCACTTGAGGTGGGGCCTCAGCAGTGCTTTGCTCCACCTCACACCCCATCCCAACTTTGACTTCCATATTTCAGGAGCAGAAGTCAAAGAGGAGAGGGCTCTGTCCCTGCAGAGCTCCTGGTTCCTGGTTTTTCTTTAGGTTGGAGGTGTTCAAGTGATGTTCGTGACTCTGCCCATGTCTGAGGGCTTCTGCTTGGCTGGTGACGCCCAAGAGGCGGTTGCGATGCCACCCTTCCCCTCTGAACCACTCAGCCCACACTGGTATCAGGTCCACCCACTATACCAACACGCATCCTCAGAGATGCCGTTGAGTCAGTTCCTGTTCCTATGGCACAGCTCTATTCTCAGAAGGGTGAGCTGGTTTTTCCCCAACACTGGAAAATACACTTCTTCATTTTCCATTCTTTTTCTTATTTTTTCTTTCCATTGACACGAATGTCTGGACTCCACAAAGGGCAAAATCAAGGTGGGACAGCCCTTCTTCCTGGGTTGTTCCCAACCCCAGTGGGATTTAAGTGTTGGTTATTTCACAAAGAGGCCCATTCAGGAGATTATTTTGTCTCCCAGAGTGACCTTTCAGGCCTAAAGGCCTCCGAATCATTGTCAATGCAACCAAAATTGGCTTCTCTCACAGAAGTCTCTGACTTTCCTCAGTCACTTCAAACTCCTCCTGTGATGGGGGTCTGGGGACCCCAAGTCCCCTTCTGTCCCTCTCTCTGGGACACTGCAAGGAAACAATTCCTTCCCATTTAGCAGGACAGGAGAGGACCAGCACCAACAGGGCCCAGTGAGAGACTTCTGTAAGCAGGGCCTGGGCAACCATTTTTGACCAACACCTACGGTTTTAGAGTGATGATAACAATCAATAAATTCTTGTCAACGCCTCAAAATGGATTTGATCTGTGATTTTTCAGAAAATACGCCGAAAAAAGTTCAAATGTTTGTCTCCACAGTTTCATACTGAAGTGGTTTGGGTTTGCCCTTTGAAACAGTGGCTTTTCCTCTTTCTGTGCTTCTCTTTCAGAGTGTTTTTCTTCACCTTGAATACTGGGAAAACTCTGGAATTCTTAGATTATTCCCCCCTCCCCGATTTAACCGGAGCATCCCATTTAAATCTCCTCCTCCCTAAACTCCTTCCAGTCTGCCTGTACACAGGGGAGCTGCAGGTGGGGTAAAATAACATCTGAACTTAAAGGAAACATCTCCCCAATGTTGCATCTTGCTCAGCAAAGCAGAAATGGTTCCCTCCCATGTTCTCCCACTGTCCTGATGCTGCAACCAAACTTAGAGCAAGAAACAAGGACCACAGAGAGAGACAGAAAGAGGAAAAATGGACCCAGGCGAGGATTCTGGTGAAGAATCTGGCTTTTAAAACCACTTTTAACTCGTGGCACACTAAAATTCATCGTTACTTGCCGTGCAGGGCGGCAGCGTGCCCAGTATATTTAAGCCAGGGCTGGTTTCCCACAGCAAAAGGCTTTGTGCTGCTTCAGCACCTCTCCGGATTAACGCTTCTTACCACACTCCTTCCCATCTCAGCATTTAGGTTTTTTGGTTTTTTTACTGAGTTCAGGAAAGCAATGGAATTCAGCCCCGGTGTTTACGAGCTCATTAGCAGCCCTCAGCAAGGGAGCTGGTACATGGGTGGGATGTGAAGAGTTATCTTCTCTTTCTCTCCTCTTCCCTACCCTGGAAAGTGATGGGATTTGATTTCCTTGTAAATTTCCTTGTGATTTCCTTTCCTCCCTCACACCCTGAAATCCACAACCCTTGGACCCACAAGGTTTTTCCCAGGTACTTGCCAAGGTGATAGCACTGCCCTGTGTAACATATAACGATTTATTGAAAATATTTTATTGCTTTCTAAAAACCAGTTTTAATAAACTCCAAGGAAATACAGTAAGTAGACCAGAAAAATTATTTAACAAACTCGATTACCTGGCATTTTCTTTCTCTGCAGGAAGAGAGCTGGTTCTTGTAAGAACAAGCTGAGAAGACCTGGTTTTGCCGGAGTTGACAGAGGTTGAGCTCCTCTGCCTGCACAGCATTTATGCTTAAGTTCCAGCAGAACTTCAGGTGAAACCAATGATTCAATGCATTGGTTTCAGCTGGAGTCCAATCAGCACCTTGCACCTGAGTCAGGTAAGAATAAGATCAACAGTATTTCAAAGGCTAAATGAGCCAGTAACTGCACAAGTCTTTGCCAAGGGAAGCTCCTTGTGTTGGTTTGAAATGTCTTTTCACCTCCTCCTGGTCAGCAGCTACCACTCTGCATACATCATGAGACGCCATGAGATGCGTATGTTATGCTATAAGGCAAGAGATTAGCACCCTCAAATGTGAAATTCCTACTCTGCATAAGATAAAACGGGATGGGAAGGTCTTCCCTAATGCTCCAGCACTTCTAAGGAGATATTATTGTAGTCACCAAAATGGTAATTCCACCCTCACACGGACAGTGAAATACAGAAAATGGCATCTGGGATAATGGTGTTTCCTTTTAGCGCTGAGTTCTGTGTCGTCTGTTTTGAGGAAACACATCAGAAAACAGCCCCGGCTCCCGAGGCCAAGCTTTGCCTCACCTGTTTTAGAAAGTCCACTGTAGCCACCAGCACGGTACCCGAATGCATCTTCCCTTCTCCCTCTCCCACTTCAAGTTTCATGCAGTGTTTTTCCCCCCCAGCACATAATTCTGAAACGCTTGGCATTACCCTGTGCCCCAAATGGAAAGAATTAACTCCCAGTGGGAGGAAAAAAAGCTCTGTTACTCTAGGGCCAGTCTGTCACCAACATAACGCTTTCTTTGGTCACATCTGGTCTTCAGTGAGAGCTGGCAGGTTCCATAAGTGACAATTTTCCTCCTGGGTGACGGTGGTTGTTGAGCCAGCTCTGCCCGGGGGTATTTTAGCAGTATCCATAGAAAGATGAGTAAGTCACCCCTGCAGCCAGGAAACCTCTCCCATTCCCCAGTTTGACCCACACGTCATTTTTCCAGCAAACAATTTCCCAGTGAGCCCCCACTGCTTGGCCTGCAGGGGAGTCAGAGGCGAGTCTGGTTCCTGCGGCCACCCTCGGGGGACGGGGACACCGCCGGGGCCACCGTGCTCACCCCGTTGGGCACGGCCTGGCTGTGATTCAGATGTTCCCCCTGGCCTTTGGTGGTGCAGGCACCACTCTTAGGGACCGACGTGTGTTTCTTCTGCACCTGCTCCAGGATCTGCAGCACCTGGAATGAATAAACACAGCTGTGAGCTGGTTGGTAATTAGGGGGAAGCACTAATTGCTTCTCCAGCTATTGAAATAATACCCTGTTCTCCCTCAAGCTCTGTGTCTGAGCTCAGCCTGGGCATTACAGACAGTTTCTGTCTGCTCAGAGGTCTCTGGGCCAGGTTTCCTGCCCCATGGAGGTCCGTGATGGTGGATCTCAGAGCTCTTTCTGCAAATGAATGGGTCTCACCTTGCACGTTCCCCATCGATGAGCTCTGCCGGCAGCATCAGGACACAGGCAACATGGAGCTCTGCTTTGCTGCTCTTTCTCACCACTCTACGATAACTCCTTGTGCTATCACAGATTTTTTCACCTCCTTATAGCACTAGGAAACCCCCAGTCTGAAACTCACTTAATAAAATCAAGATTAATTTTACCTGAGACTTGGGGATGATACCAACTCTGAAGAATCCTATGTTTCCGCTGTCGATTTTGGTGCAGTCCACCACGGTGGAGGCAATGTTCTCCGGAGAAGGCCCATCACAAAGGACTGCATCCACCTGAAGAGCAACAAATGTTCACACCAAGGTCCCCCCCAGGAACTTGAGAAAAGAGAGGGCAGCTTCCCCATCACAATAGCAATTAATTATCATCAAGGGCAACTCTGCTCCCTCCAACCCCACTGTATTGACACTAAGAGCTGAATTTGGAATGAATGAACTAATAAAAGCAAAGAAAGAGTGAGATCAATGAGGTGTAGGTCGGCAGTACAGCAAAGACAGGTTTACATCAGTTGAGGAGCTTTGAAGAAGTGCCATCCGCAAAGCAAATGTGTAGAAAACCAGATTTTTGAGGAGTTAGAAGTGGAAGATTTGTACCATCTTTTGTTTAAAACTGCCCTCAGATAAGTGTCATACTCTCGGGATGTAGCAGTGACGCAAACGACAGCCATTTGAATGGCCACGATCATTGTACTTCCAGAACTTATGAAAAGTTCTAAAAGCCGGGGATATTTTAAAGCTTTGGCAGCAGTTTCAGACCAGCTTCAGCTTTAGATGGGAATCCCCTGTGCTCTGAGAGCTCATCGCCAGCTGGAGCCCTGGCGCCTTCAGGCATCAGTGGGTTTATTGCTGTAAGCAAAGAAGCATTTTTTCGTTGCTCGTCTCATTCTGTGCTGGAAGATGAACTAACGCACGTTGCCAAGCCATAACTATACTGTGTAAAACAGAAGCATTTTGGTTTCCCACCAAGTTCTGTATTTTACACTGTTCTTTCACTCTGACACCAATGTGAGGATTGTCCATGAGATGTTTTTAATGAGATGCTCTCCAGATTTCCGGTATCACCTATAGATTTGCCTACTGGAAACAAAGTGGTTGTGTTCCTCCATCCCCACATCTTTTAGGACCAGCCAGAATGAAGAGACAAAGAGCTCCATTACCTTATTTCCCAGCTTGGCATAGACCTGGTTGTGGTGTGTTGTGTCTGCCTCTCCCGTTGGGTTGGCTGAGGTGACCACAATGGGGCCAACCTGGTGACAGAAAAACAGGAATGAAAGCTCTGATCCACTTTTGCTGTATCAAACAGATGACTTGAACTCCAAAGATCGCTCGTGAGTCTCTCTGACTCTAAAGAGAGCTTGACATGACTCACCCAGGTAGAGACACCTACTTTGTAGGCAACTATAGTCCCACCAAATCTGTGCATGGGTGACTAACACCCCACTGAACTGGGGTTTCCTGATGTTGGTCAGGAAAGAACATTTTGTTTTCCAGCACCAGCAGTTGCCAAAACTCTACAATGTCTGTCCCAGAAACGAACAGAACGTGCAGGGTATTGCAGTTCCTCTGGCCACATTCTGGACCTTCTGAAATTATTCTGGCTTCAGATAAGCTCGTGCTTGCAACAAAAGTGTTCTGTGTAGGAAATCGGACAAAGTGTCTGTTAATTACATCTTTTCTGCCTTTCTGACCCAGTGGTTACTCCTTTTACCCTCTTTTCTGCAAGAAAATCAGCTACAAGCTGCCTACATACCCCACACCTTCCTAATGATATTTTTCTTGTGGGAGTTACTCATTTTAGCCCTTTTCACTCCCCAAACCTGTCTGAACACGCTCGGATCCTCACTTCATGGAGAAAAGAAACATGAGAGGAGAGGTGACATGCCAAGAAGTGTGCTCCAGCTTCTCACTGTCCTTCTCTCCTCTCTCAAGCAACCAGAGGACCTGGGTGCTCATGGTGGACACCAGGCCAAGTCCCTGGACAGTGAGATGGTGAGGTCTGGTCGCCAGCCCTGCTGGGATGAGCGTGCTCTGGCCACTCACCAAGTCAATGAGGTGTGTGGTGACAGAGCAGTCGGGGATGCGGATGGCAACGCTCTGAGGGGTACCGACATATTTAGCAGAGTCCTTCATTCCCAGGAAGTCCACCCATTCACCTGGAGAAGGAAGAGTCACATCACTTATGGATGCACATCAGTCCCAACACAATGGATCTTACCAGGAATATCGCCACGGAGTCAGCTTGGGGATGCCTGACATAAAATTGGAGGTTCAAAGCCAAAGCTCTCCAGAGACCTTGGAAGTAACAGCGTTTCCTCACCTCTGGGCACCACCAAGCTGATAGGAGATGGCCAGGCAGCCTCCATGAAGTCCCAGAGGAGGGGACTGATCAAATGCTTTGCAGGTTCCAGTTGCTTCAGGCTGGAAATCCAGAGTGACATGGGGCGATCCTGAGCCTGGCGCTTGGACCTGGGAAGGAGGCAAGAAAAAATGAGCCTGGAAGTAAGACAGGGATTTATTTTCTTGTTGAAAAGGAAATTGTGTTGGTGAGGCCTGGAGGTGTGTAGGCTCTGCCCCAGGTCACCAGTCCATAGTAAAAGTAGGACTGTTCAACAGATGACCTGACAGTAAGGGACATTAATGGCTATTCCCAGTCAGGGATGTCTCCTCCAAATCAAGGTTTTAGCTTCTTGCGCAGTGATGGGTAGAAGTCCCAACTGCCCAAGTTCTGAGGAAATCCCACCAATGAGGGGTCCCGGCTGCTTACAAAAGTACATCTAGAGGCATCTGTTAAACACCAGAGGGATTTTGGTTGTGAAAATATGTATCTACAAATATGTATAATAATCTCTTGCCCCATTTGTCACTTCTCTTGGTTTCCTTGTGATATCCAAGCTACCTGGCTCCAACACCTGCCAGGAGCCTTCAATACCCTAGAAAATAATCCCAGCTCAACTCTCTCCTTTTGTTATTCTTGTGATATCCAAGCTACCTGGCTCCAACACCTGCCAGGAGCCCTCAATATCCTAGAAAATAATCCCAGCTCAACTTTCTCCTTTTGTCATCCAGATCTTCTCCCCCAGGCTCCTCACCTTGTTCTTCCCATGAAGGCTAAGCCACGTTTCTCACTGCTCTCCACGGCTGCTGTAGCCACTACTCAGCAGCAGCTCTAAGCCCTAGAGGCTTCTTTAGACTCTCCAAGGAAGCCCTCCCTGGGGCAGCGAGGCAAATACTTACTGGTGAGCCTTCTCCACGGCGTCAGGCCGGTTACAGGCTGCCACAAGCACGTACACAGTATCTGTGGGGATGCCGCAAGTCCCTCCGTTCTTCAGGATATCTGTTGGCATGTGAACAGGGCAGAACCCCTTGAGTGACTAGAAGTGAGGGGCTGTAATTCTGGGAAGAGTTGTCACAGACAAAACAGCCAACTCGGTGCTCTCATCTCTCCTTTGCCCAACTAAAACAAAGCATTTCCTCTGACAGTGCATTTTCTAGCATTCATCCCAGAGGAGATCTGGCACTTAGGGGAGTTATGGGCCACATTCATCAGGGCCAGAAGCCATTCAGCCCCTGTGGAGAGAGCAAGCACCACACATTTGTCCTGCTTTCTCTGTGCAAAGCTTTCGGTGGCAGCTCCAGCCTGGGGCATCCATGTGTCTCAGGTTGGATGAGCTGACAGGGGTACGAGACAGGAGAGACAGCAGCAAATTCACTGCTGAACCCAGCCCCTCTCAAGGAACTGGTCCTATTGCCCCCAGAGTGTGTTTAGCCTCTAATGACTCCTGTAACCTGGCCCACTTTGTCAAAATGTCATCAGATTATCAAGGATTTTACATCTGGGTTGGAAAAATGTCCTTTTAATAGCAATGTTCTGCTACAAAACCTCCCAGAATTTACCCCCCACCCCCACGTTATTCCCTTACCTGCAATTCTCTTGACAGAGGAAGCTTTCCTGGCAGGCAGGTGAAGGCACTTGGTCATTCCTCCCCCCACACCACTAAGCTGCACAATGGGCCTACCCATTGGTAAGCAGGAACCCTCAAAGACACTGTTGAAAAGGGCAGAGAGGAAGCAGTAAAAGCTGACCAGGCCGAAGATGATGGTGGCAGCAATGTCATAGCCAGCTGGAAGGGCATGGATGGCATCCAGCAGGAAGCTGACAGAGATGAGCAGGAAAGTGAGGGTGTAGAAGAACCAGGCGATGTTTAAGAAGAGCGTGCAGAAGACGATGAAGCCATTGAAGAGCATGAATGCAATGATGCCTACAGCTGCGTGGAAGCTTCTGGTAGTGCCATAGAGGCCACCATATCTTGTCAAGCCCCAGATGATCCACATGACAGCGTACAGGATGAAGGCACTGCTCTCCAGGGTTTTACCCCGGGCAAAGGCCACTGAGCCGCCTAAGAGCTTAAGGATCCCACCAGCTACCACCACCCATGGAATTACAACAGTGGCAAGTGGAGCCTGTGGGTCCCCTGTCATTGTCATAGCAAAAGAAGCGAGGACACTGCATGCGTAGCCAAGCACTTCTGCGTCTGCATATTTGGAATACCCTAGGTAGGGAGCGTGAAGGTCTGCCCCTTCACGAAGCTTCAGAAAACTGCTGCGGGCAAGGAGGGCCTTCACAGCACCCTTCCCTGTTGGGATCTTGGTACTTGCTCTCCCATTGTACAGGTGAATTAGAGCCATCAAGGTGGAGGCCACGAAGATGGCCACATCCACGCCTTGGGGTCCACCTTCAAAAAACCCCTTGGGACGGCAAGCTAACGCAACACAGTAGGCCACATAGAACAGCAGATACAGGCCATCCACTGGGCTCTTAAAAGTGAGAAAAAGAGCCAAGACAGCAAAAAGGATTGAGAAAACCACCAGGAATGGTGTAGGGAAAGATGGCTCCTCTGGTTGCCAGATGGGGTACAGAAGGCAATAGCCTCCGGCAAATTTCAGGATGGAAGTGAAACCGAAGAAGGTGGCCATTAGTGCATCCATGGTACGGTACGACAGAATGCAGATGCCGATCTGGTAGATCCCAGCTGCCCACAGCCAGGGCACTTGTCCAATAAATAGTTTGCCAGTGACACCCAGGAGCCTGCAGCCGAAGACACTGGCAGAAAGCATGTTCAGGATCATACCGGTGACTGCAAAATGATTCACGCTGCCACCAGTGGGTTGGATCGGTTCGTGGGTCTTTTTGGTGGCCAGATCTGTGCCAGGGAGGGCAATTTTCTCTTTGGTTAGGAAATAGAGAATCCTTCCCAGACCAAAATAACCACCAACCAAGCAGACAACCATATAATTGCAAGCCACAGCAGAGGAACCAAAAGCTGTGCTGTAATGCATGGCAACTTCATGAGCACTGGCAAGAGAGACAGCAGAAGCAATCAGAGCCAGGATGACCTCTCTGCACAGGACGCCCACCACTGCAATAATGAGTAGTGCCAAGGTAAATGTGACCAGGCCAGGCACCAAGGCATTGCGGAAATCACCACTGTCGTTCAAAACTCCTTGCCCTTCCAGGATGAAGACCACTCCATAGCCACACCAGAACACTGAGATGGTCAGGCAGAGGGACAAGAACAGGGAGGCATTTCTTAGGCTTCTCCGAATTCCTGTGAAAAAATGACAATGGAGACACACCTGTGGTTTCAAAACAGCAGGTTATGGAAAGCGGTAGGTAGGACAGGTAGCGGGTGTGTTGGAACCATGACTACACGGAGCTCTCATGGAGCTGCACAGGTCCTGCATGATGCTAGACAGCGTTTGGGTAGGTCTGCACCATGCCCCATCACACTGTGTAGACATGACCATAAGGAGTCCACAGCACAACATGTTGTGTTCATCAGAGTGCCTGAGGTGAGCTCAAAGCACTTGAGTTCCTCTAACTCAGGCTCCTGCCTTTGGTAGGAGGCTGTTGATTCCCACCAGCTGTGAACCACCACCTGCCCAGTGGTCCAATACACGGTCCCATCAATACAGCTGCTTCTACTAATGCTTTGTGCCACCACTGACTAAGGGAGGAGGTGAACCTACATTTTATGGGTTAAAATATGCAGCACCTCTCTGCTTGGTAGAGGAAAAACTACCAGCATCAAATCTTGGATTTTCATGTCCTCATCACTCCGAGCTAAAAAGGAGAAATAACTCAGCATTCATTCTAAAAAGTGTGGACTTCGTGATAGCCAGTGGTTTTTTTTCTCTTGGCACTTACACATCAACATGTCATCTCAATCCATGGGTGTCCAAAGCACCCTCGGAAACCCCGGGAACTGTTTAGAGAGAAATCATCTATTCAGTCTGTTGAAACTCTCAGAGATTCTGGTAAAGCATTTGTTCAAAACTAACACTGATTTCTTTGGTTGCCTGTATAGGAAAAATGTGCTGAAGGAATCAGCGCTCTGGCAAAGCTGCCACGCTTTGTATGAACCTGTTGGGGAAGGAGACCAAATACACGCAAAGCTGTAGAAGGGGGAGGCCTTGGAGCCCCCCACCCTCCGAGTCTCACCTGCGTACGCCAAAAGAGACGATAAAATCAAGAGGAGGACTCCCAGAGCCGTGCTGGGGATGAGGGAGGACGCTCTGGATGCACTGTAGAAATGCACCGCCAGCAGGAGAGACCCTGTGTGTGACGAGGGAGATGGAAAAAAAATGAAAAACCTTGTAAACTTTGCCCCTCCCAAAAAAACACCCCAGGAGAGAAGCAGAGTGGCAAGAGCAGGGAACAGAGCAAAATATAACAGTGCAAGATCTGCAAATAATGAAATCTAAGGAGCTTGGGAGGGGGTGCTGTAACTTGATTTGCATCCCAGGTCTCACATCTTTCTGGGAGCCTGGCTTTGAGAAACTTGAACTTAATCCTGTTTGAGAGTGCTCCCCCGTTGTCAGATAAAGGTAAAAATCAGTGCTGATTCCAGCTACACAAAAGGCAGACAGACGCACACACACCCTTGTGCCTAGGGAAAACGAGGCTAAAAATGAAAAGGGGGAGCCCTCAGAAAGTTGAAATGCAAAGAAGGAGCAAAGGAAAGGGAGGGAACATCGAAAACAGAGCTGCCGGGAAAATGGCGAGAAAAGGAAAAGAGCGGAAAGCGCAGCCAAAGAAAGATCATTTATGAAAATGACTATCAAAAAGTTTGGATTCGCTTCCCACCCAGGATGGATCGAGTACAAAAGTTCAGGCCAGCGCTTTAAAGCCAAGACAAATATTTTGTTGGCCGCTGAGCCAGGCACCGGGATCTCTGGATCGAAGAGCTTTACCCAGGCAGAGGAGATTCCGAATAAACACGACTCCGGAGCCCCCATTTGAAAAAGGGGGTTGTCCATGAGAGCTAGTCCCAACCCCATCCTCCCATGCCAAGAAGACTCGATCCCTACCTGCGGAAATGCCCAAGAGCCCTATGGAGGAATGCAGTGACTCAACTTTCCTGTCGGCCATCGCGGAGCGCGCTGAAGACCCAGCTGCGGGCTGAAATGCTGCCTCTCTTTCCTCCCTTAGCTCTTTATAACCAAAGCAGCTCCTCTGGCCCGCGTTCCTCCCCGCTCTCCACCCCTTTCGCCTACAAACATCTTCTGTGAGCGCTCCTTTCCGCCTGCAGAAGGAAATGCAAACCAGCGCCTCGCTGCAATAAATTTCAGCCCCGTGAGTCAGCCCCTGGTAGCTCCCTCCAGGGGCCTGTTAATTTTACTGTTGATTAGCCCTTGTTAAAAAAGACACCTGAAAAATAAGGCTGAGGGTTTATTGCTATTACTGCCTTTTTTGCTACAGCCAGTGAGGAAATTGCACTGGTTAAAATTAAGGGTTTTTTTTTAAAAGAATCCATCTTGCTTTGGAGCAAACAAGTGCTTTGCAAGCCCAGGAGCTCCCTGGGGACCAGCTATTTCTCCTTGCACTGGCCACGGTCCTGCTGTTTGTCCCTGTCACAGCTATGAATGCCTGGCACCACTGTCCTGTGCTGGGCAAACTCTGGGCAGACTCAGTGCCATCCCCTGAAAGGTGACTTCTGTCCATGTGTCACTCCACATCCATCCCAGCCTCTCACAGGGAACTCCTCCAGGGTTTCATGAGCAAGGTGTCAATGCAGACAAGCATTCTGGAGGCCAGCAGTGTCAGGATAACTCCAATGAGCTTTGCTGGCTTTCCAGGAGAACTACGCACGCAGCGAGTGAGTATCCATCATTTCCATGGTCATTGCTGTATCCCAAAGGTGGCATGAAGGACCTGTTCACAGCTTCCTACTGCTTCCCATGGAGAATGTGTGATGGGCACACAAAGGTCTTTACCGATGGAGGAGAGGCTGCAGAAAGAGGTGGACACTATCCTTGGGATCGTGTTGGGTGACACATCAAGTGGTAATCAGGCAGAGAACTGTTCTATGAGAGCTCACAGAGCTTTGATGGACCACAGGGGCAACCCTGGCTGGCACTTCTGTACATTCCTCCATCGTGGTGGTGTGTGCAATGGGCCCGTGCAGGGCCTGCTCCTGTGAAGGACTCAGCTCCTGTTAAAGCAAACTCCACTCTCAGCCTCTTGACAAGATAAAAGATACAGAACAGGGTAAAGAGCTTCACACTGATATTTCTGGGCTGATCAAAGGTGACTCTCCAGAGGCCCTACAGCAGCAAACTGTGACATTCCTCTTGGTGGATCCTGCTCTATGTCCCCCCATAAGTCACATTCCACAGGTAGGGCTGGGGGACAGAAAAGCTGTTGGAAATGGGACATAGAGCAGCACAGACTGGAGCTCAAAGACGAGCCTCCAGCACTACCCCAGAGATATTTGATCTGTAGCAGCACCCAGAACAACCCCAGACTGTCTGGGTCCACAGATAACGTGGACCTCCTGCTCTCTGGGCCAGTTGGAGCATGATGGCATGCTTCCATCACGCAGCTGGAGCCCTGTAATGGCTCCCCAAGTTTCCTGATTTCTTCAGTGCTTTGGAGGACAGTTATCTTTAACTGTGTTCACCCCTCAAGGAGAACTTTGAGGCAACAGGGCTCCTCCACGCTCATCTTCACTGGAATATTAATGCAGATTAAAAGCAAGGTGTTACTATTAAATCCCAATGTCTCTACCATAATAAACAACCCCTCAAGGAGAACTTTGAGGCAACAGGGTTCCTCCATGCTCATCTTTAAAAGCAAGGTGTTAATACTAAATCCCAATGTCTCTGCCATAATAAATGTGTGCGGACGTTCCCCCAGAGAATGGAATAACTCTGCTGAAAAGTATTATTTATCAATAATATGTTAATTGCAGATAGATCTTTAGGTTCAACATGTCTGTTGAGATAGACCCTATTGCCTGGGGAAGCAAGCACTGGAAGATGCCTGGTTTGTCCAGTTACACCTAAGCAATTATACCAGTAAGGGGAACCAGCTCAGCCAGTTTGCAACAGGCAGGGCTAAGGGCTGTGGTTCGCAGCGAGCAGTGAATTTGTGTAAATCATCAGCCTCTGGCTATCTTTGTGCCATCATTAAGAGGACTGCTCTCTAACCAGCTGAAGGAGGAAGAATCTCTCTGGTAAAGCTGCAGCATGATTCAGCTGCTTTGCATGCACGAGGAAACAATACATGTCTAACCCACAGTTAGAATACCCCAGATACCTAAATAACAGGAGTGAAAAGGCTTTGAGTGTTTTCCACACATGTCACAGTTTAATTCCCCTTCTGGGTAATAAAATTAACTGAAAGGAAAAGCCTGTGCTGGATTAGTTGGACCTCAAGTCCTTTCTCACGTGCTCTTTGTTCCTGCTTGCATAGGTAGCAGCAAGGAGTCTGTGGTGCCTGATATCACTAGTTTTAAGAGAAAAATGCAATAAATAAAGTCACATCCATTAGCAATGAGTATCTTCCTCATGCCTGCCATGACTAACGAACTCGCTAAAACCTCTATTTCTTTGCACACAGGATGTACTTCAGGTCTCTTCCAAATATGACAGAGAACCGAGGAATATTTCTTATAAATACCCCCTGAAAAACTTCCTCCAGCCCTGCTGCACGAGGGGTTTGTTCTCTGCAGAATGGCAAGCCAGCCTCAGGGCCACAGCTATTCCAAGGGTGCAAAGCTGAAATAGAGAGGCACAGAATCGTCTCGGGTGGGAGCACGTCAAGGACAAGTAAGAAGTCACTGTGTGAGCGAGGGATTTTCCCCACCACACGCTGTGGATCTTGATGTCCCGTGCCCCCCTGGGAGGTCAGGGCTCTGCCAGTTCCCGGCACCTCTTTCCTGGCAAAGGTGGTGCTGTCGATGGAAGAACCAAGTTATTGTTTTCCAACGTTGGGACCCAAAGGCCAGGAAACTACTACAACTGAGTGCAAACATCTGCGCTGCTCTTGGGAGCTGGGGTAGAAGGATAAGAACATTTAAGGTCAGAAAAGGAAATCTGGGTGTTAAAAAGCTGAGGCTGCCTGCGTAGGGTTAAAAAAAAGGGGGCACTGGAGGAATGCACTGGCTGGAATACTTGCTCTGGGCGGGCTCCCTTTGATACCATCCTATGTGCAAAGATTTCGGTGCTTTAGTCTGAAATAGAACGGAAAATCGACGACTGAGAAGGAAAAACACAGCTGCTCTGTCGCACAGGTCGCGTCAGCTGGGGATGCTTGGGAGACAACGTGCTGGGAAGAAGATCTGCAAGGGAGCAGTCAGTTGAGGAAACAAATAATATTTACATGCCCTGCCTGTGGCACTGGAAATAAAACCTTCTTGCCAGTAAGAAATTCAGCCCAGCCCTCCTGGCCCCACCTGCTCCTGGGGGAGGGATCGGGCTATAAAAAGGCTCCAGGCAGTGAACAGAGGATGCACAGCAATTTGGGGCTCTCCAGGGAATCCTCCTGCTCCGGTGTGCGACCATGGGGAAGCGAGTGGCCGTGGTGCTGGCTGGCTGCGGGGTGTACGACGGCAGCGAGATCCACGAGGCTTCTGCCGTGCTGGTGCATCTCAGCAGGGAGGGGGCACAGGTAAGAGCCACCTTGGTGGGCTCCTGCCCCATTTCTGCCTCCTTTTGCCCTGCTCTGCTCTTCAATTATCTCCCTCTTCCAGGAAATCCTTGTCTCCGGGGTGCTCTGCAGCTCCCTGGTCCCCGCTTCTCCCTCGCAGCTTTGCTCTGCGGGGAGGGTTGGCTCCCTGCTCCCCGTCTGAGCGTGTCCAAACCCTGAAACAAACTTTCTGAAATGCCTCCTCTGTTCTTTCTGGCTCACACTTCCTCTTTTCTGCTTCGGCGCGTCTGTTTAAAAGACTACTATTGGTTTTGGCTGTTTGAAATTCATCTTTTTTTAAACCCCCGAAGATTTGAACTGAAAATAGCCACATTCTTGTGAGTTGATTTGAACAGGGGTAAAACAGGCGGCCGTTTTAATATCCCTTTAGTCACAATAACCACTTTGCCAGACTGGAAGAGGAGGGAGAGGAGCCCTGTGCAACGTTGCCCTCGGCTCTGAACAAGACACAACCCTGGGTCAGATTGCTCTATTAAACAGATTATTAAACTATTAAACAGCCGCGGGGATGTCCACGATGTGCAGAGCCAGCCCACCCAATCCCAACCCCTTCGCCGTGCGCATTCTCTGCTTGGCTTAAAGCTGGGATTTGTCCAAACCTTCTCTCCACCGCCTATAATTTTGCCTCTTCTCTGCTGGAGCTGCTGCAGTCGCTTCCCTCCTGCCGTCCCCCGAGCTGGAAGGATGGCAGAGCCTCCTCCACCCATCCCTTGGTCGGCAGGGACCTCTAGTGGAGCACATTCGGGCGTTATTTCAACACCCTCCTTTTATTTTTCGGTCATGCTTGCCTAAGGAAAGAAAGCAGACTAGACTAGACCAGACTATTTCAGTTGGAGGGGACCTACAGTGACCATCTACAGGACCTACGAGGCCAAGCTGGATGGGGCTTTGAGCAACATTTGTCTAGACTAGACCAGACTATTTCAGTTGGAGGGCACCTACAGGTGCACTCTCCAGGACCTACAAGGCCAAGCTGGATGGGGCTTTGAGCAACATTTGTCTAGTGGGAGGTGTCCCTCGATGATCTTTAGGGTCCCTTCCAACCTGAGCCATTTTGTGATTCTGTGATCCAGTACAATCACTGGAAGAACTCAGGGCTGACCAAGTTAACTCATGTTAAGGGCATTGTCCAAATGCCTATTGAACACTGCCAGACTTAGGGCATCGACCACCTCTCCGGGAAGCCTGTTCCAGTATTTGACCACGCTCTCAGTAAAGAAATGCTTCCTGACTTCCAGTCTGAACCTCCCCTGGCACAGCTTTGAACCATTCCCACCTGTCCTATCACTGGATCCAGGTAGAAGAGCTCAGCACCTCCCTCCCCGCGTCCCCTCCTCAAGGAAGTTGCAGAGCCATGAGGAGACCCCTCAGCCTCCTTTTCTTGAAACTAGACAAACCCTGAGTCCTTGGCCGCTCCTCATAGGACATGTCTCCCAGCCCTCTCACCAGCTTTGGTGCCCTTCCCTGAACACATTCGAGTAGCTTAACACCCTTCTCAAACTTCAAAGCTTGTACAGTCACAAAATCTATCACCCATCTCTTTGCCACCCTCCACTTTTAATCACTGCACGTCAGCTTGAAACAGTTCTGAAGGAAGGGAAGGTGTTCTCCAGAAAAAGAAATACTCTGGTTTTGGGAAAAGAGTGACTGGGGAGAAGAAACTCAAAGTCGTGTCCTTGAGGGAGAGATGTGGTGTGACAGCAGCAGCCGCAGAGGATGACCAGCTTCGTAGGGGCAGGTGGGGCAGGGCTGAGGCTGCCCCAGTGGAGGTGATTGCTTGGCAGGTGGGTGGAAAACTCTAAGAAATGGCTTCACCAACAGCTCTTGGGACACCTGGTTTTCCTAGGAAGGAGAAGAGTCACTGCTCCCTCTCCAGCTCTTCACACCCCAAAACAAGCACTGTGGGCTAAATTCTTTGGTTTCACCTAACAACACCCTCATTCCTTTAAGGTCAGGGTAAACGTTCTTGTGCAGAAGCTACAAAAGACCTTTTTTTTATTTTTCCTCCCTGTGACAATAACCTTCCAGCCAGTATCCCATACAGGGGAGCCTGAAGGTCACTGTGTTCACCAGCAAAGTAACTCAAGCATTTTCATTCATGACGTATGATCTTTAACATGCTTAGGATAGATTACTGGAGGATAACAGACCTTCCCCCTTCCTCTCCAGGCAGAGGTTTATGCTCCTGATGTCGACCAGATGCATGTGGTGGACCACGTGAAAGGACAGCCCACCCAGGAGAAGCGCAATGTGCTCGTTGAAAGTGCCAGAATAGCCAGAGGCAACATCAAGGATCTAGCCAAGCTGGATGTCAAGGGGCTGGATGCCCTGATCATACCAGGTAGGATGGCAGGTGGGGTCTGCGTGCCCAACATCTTGGGAACAGCTTAGACATGCCAAAAACCTTGAACAACATGGGAGTTATGGGCTGGAGGGGAACTGGGCAGAGCCACTAGGGGAGAAGACAGGCTGGAAGAAGGGACTGGACATCTTCCATCTGTTCTGGCACTGGCATGGACTTGGACTTAAGAGGAGATGGCAAGTAACGGCCAGCTGAATCATCCCCTCTGCCATCTACTGAGCTCTGTACTGGGTGTGAAACTCTCCTCTCCCTCACCAATGTGCCTACATCCTTCTCAGGAAAAGCAGAGGCTGGGCCAGAGAGGGGGTGACTCAGAAGCAGAAAGGCTTGGTCCAGCTGGTAGTTCACCTTCAGTGAAAGTGTCACCACGTGGTTTCAGCGGGGATGGATTAGGCCTGCAGCAAGGATTAAGAGACAAGTGAAAACTCGTCAGCGTGTTCCACTATAATTTAGAAAAGAGCTTGTGGGTGAAACACGGTACCCAACATTGACACCTTCCCACTTTGGTTCTCTATGGAAGCAAGAACCCAACATTGACACCTTCCCACTTTGGTTCTGTATGGAAGCAAGAAAGGTGCAGGTGCTCTGATGTCTCATCTCCTGGCACTCACAAAGGTTCAGCTTGTCTATTTCTAATTCCTTTATCAACACTGGACAAATGCTGCCACCCACCAAATCCATTTTAGCATTCTGCTAAGTAATACCTGAAAAAAACCTGCCCTGGAGTGCTATCTCCCAGTCTAATCTGCTCCTCTTTTCTCAGGTGGCTTTGGAGTGGCTAAAAACCTGAGTACTTGGGCCACCCAAGGCAAGAACTGCATCGTCTGCAAAGAGGTGGAGGACGTCCTGAAGGCATTCCACGCTGCCAAAAAGCCCATTGGCCTGTGCTGCATTTCCCCAGTGCTGGCAGCCAAAATCTTCCCAGGCTGCGAGCTGACTGTGGGTCACGACACCGAGTGTGAGAAGTGAGTAACCTTGGGGTGCTGGTAGGAAATCACACCATGAGCATCACAGAATCAGGCACCTCCTTGGTCCCAGGGTAGGGAAGATGTCCACCCACTCATAAAGTTCAGCAGATCCTAAAGAGGAAGAGGATGGTTGCACAAGACTTGGTAGGGTTAAGAGAGGGAGGGAGTTGAACTGTCCTTACTCATATGGGGACGCCATGACTGAATTCTCCCAGTGGCAGGGAAGGAACTATGATAGATCTTGCTTTGAGGGACTAGGGAGTAATGCCACTTGTAGGAAGCTGGTGGAAAAAGACCTCCAAACCTAAACACAAAGTCTAGAGTGGGCAGAATTAAGTAGTGGAACATCCACAGTGGAACATCAAGGTCTTATTTTGGCTCATTCAGTTTATTCTGTCTTTTTCAGATTTTTAACTCACTGTAATCTGGAGGTTTTCCTGGTTTTATAATCCTGGAGAAACTCCTTTGATAGGAAAAGATTTGGATCCTTTTGAGCAGGCTTTCTGTAGGGACCATCCATATCTCTGTAACCAACAGGATTCTCACTCTAGACCTTCACCAAATCACTCTGTGCAATGATGGCTCCCACACGCAGGGTTTGTTCTCTTCTCTTCTTGTAGGTGGCCTTATGCAAAGACTGCTGAGACCATGAAGGAGCTGGGTTGCAAGCACGTGAACAAACACGTCACCGAAATCCACGTGGATGCCAAGAACAAGCTGGTGACCACCAGCGCCTTCATGTGCAACGCCCCCATCCACGAGATCTACGATGGCATCGGAAAAATGGTCAAAGAAGTGGTCAGACTGGCCTGAAGGCCACAGAATCCACCTCCTCTGGAGTGGCACCGAGCCCTGGATAACCTTCTTTCCCTTTTACACCCACATGTCAACAGGCAAACTGCCCCTCGGATGGAGTTCTTTCCCCCCACCAGGCCACTGAGTGAGGAGGGAGAACTCTGGAGCAACGGAAGCGCCATGGTGTCCCACCAAGGAGACACCACTTCTTCCATGGGGCTGAAATGCAGCCGATGTCTTTGGTTCCAAGCAGCCAAGGAGCTGCCTGGGTCACCTCAGCCATGACCTGACACATCATGTGCCAGCAGGAATCGGTCCCTTTCTGACATTCCTTACACATCCACCTTCACCAGTCACTCCCCCCCCCCTCACCAAACAGATGAATTAGCGGCAAAAGGAAGGAATGTGGTTCTGATATACAATAAAACCTGACGTTTTTTACATGAGCTGAATTCTGCTGTCATTTTTCTGCTTTTTACTCTTGATTAGGACATGCTTTTAGTGCTACTGGGTGGCCAACGAGTGGGGAAATCGATACAGGAATGTCACAAATCCCACTTGTTTCGCCAGGGTTTGGTAGAACCCCAACTTGGCCATGACTAGGTTCAGGAGCTGTTTAGGTGGAAGCTGGTATGTTCTTCTTAAATAGGTTCTTATTACACAGGTGACATCACGTAATCATTACAGCCCGAGCTGTTCAGTTCTCTCAGCGTGAGACCTGTTTTCTAAGCCAGCAGTGATTTTCTGAGGCAGGAGTTCAGGAAAGGTACAGAAGTTTCTGCCTTAAACTCTAACTTCAGAGTGTTATACAGGATTTTCTGAGATTAAGAATGTTTTGACTAATTTATCAGACAGGCTGAAAAGGTACGGGATGTAAACACAACAGGGGAAATTCCAGGGACTGGCTGAAGAATTGGAATTAATCTCTGACTTTAGATCACAGACACACAGCCAGTAACGCCACTTTTTGCTGGGATGCAGAAATCTGCTTGTCCTCGTGGAGGCAGGAAAATCAACCCCAAAGATGAAATATTAACAATATTTGGTGTGTTTTGACACGCAAGAAAGGCAACAAACAAGAAATAAGGAAGATGGAGAGAAGTGACATTGTAACTAACTGTTTATAGGGGAATGAGAGCAAAAAAGAAAATGCTGCAGTTATCAGTCGGTCAGTGTCAGAATCCGGAGGAACTCCTCTTCGTTCACTTCCCCATCTCCATCCACATCTGCTTCATCAATCATCTCCTGGGGGACAGCAGAGATTTGGAGACAGGGTTAGGTGGGATCTGAGAGGGTGGATGCTCACAAAGGTCTCAGCCAAGGTCCAAGGGAGACAGAGCTCTCGTGTCCATCACAAAGCACCACAGCACAATCCCCCACCTGTCTTCCCACAGCAAGACGTTCCCCTCCCTCCCCGAGCAGAGCACGAGAGGAACACATCTGTACTTCACAAACCTGCAGCTCCTCATCCGTGATCTCCTCCCCAACCTCACCAGCTATCACCTTGAGATTCTCAAAGGAGATCTTGCCGGTGTCATCACAGTCAAACACCTTGAAAACTTTCACGACCTCCTCTTCCAAAAATGGCTCCGCCTTAGGAAGGAAATGAAAAATGCCCCCCTGTAAACATACCCCCTACAATCCCCACTCAGGGACTTCAGCCAGTAAACATTTGTGATCAAATCCAAGGTGTCATTTGGGGGAAAACATGGCCATAGAAGAGGGTTATCTACTGCTGCTACTTCACCTCGGCCTTTCCCCCCACCTCTGTATAACTGCATATTAAAGCAAAACCTACAAAATAAGTTGCCTGAGCAGCACAGGGACCTGGCCTGGAATATTCAGTTTCTACCTGAACTAGCATCCTGCTCCCTCTGTAGTTCACAGAAAGATGCAAAAAGGGGCAAGGACAATTCACCCAAAGGCAGATCTCTAAAATAGCTCAGATAAACCCCTGAAACACTCCTGTTTCTCCCCTACAGGGAACCAGAATGACCCAATCCACTGTGGCTACCTGCATCGTAAAGTTAGGTGAAGTTAGGTGAGAGGAATTTCACTCTTTGGGATCAGCTGGGCTCACATACCATTTTCTGAGTCATCACCTGCAGAAAAGACCTAAAATTCAGCTTCCCTGGCCTTTCTTCACTGAATTCAGAGATGATTCTCTTCACCTCCTCTTTCCTCAACTCGCAGCCCAGAGCCTTTACAGTTATCTGCCAAAAAGAGAAAACAGACCAACGTCTTGGTGCCCAAATCAGATGGAAACATAGAGGGAAAGAAGCAGGTATATGAAAGTGGTGAAAAAATCCCTCAACTTTTCATCAGCAGCTATTCATCCACTGTTATGTCTCCAGAGAACAAGTTCTGTCTAACATCAGTAGGACAGGGCCGTGAAAAATTAGCCAGGAAGAGCTGTCAGGACGGGCAGAGAAGGGAGGCTTTGCCCCCCCACCCAGGACCGCTGGGCAGTAAATTGGCACAATCCTGGCCCCACTGATGGCTCCATAAGGAGTTGGAATTCAGGCAGCAAAGTCTGTTGGGGCAGAAAGAGGCCCCAAAGCCACCCGTCGGGGCTGCTCCGAGGCCGCCCCCTGCCCCGTCTCTATGGGGCTCGGCAGCTTCTTGCCTTCAGGTCGCTGACATCCATCAGGCCCGACCTATCGCGGTCGAACAACTCGAAGGCCTCCCGTAGCTCTCGCCTCTGCTCTTCGGTGACCGGGAAGGCCAGGGCCGGTTCCTCCCTCGGGCCGCCTTCCTCGTTGCTGGAAGCCTGCGGGGAGACCGGCCGCCCTCAGCGGGGGACGGGGACCCCACCCCGCCCTCCGCCGCCATCGCCTCCTCAGGGAGGCCCCATCCCGCCTGAGGCGTTCCTGGGGGAGAATCCCAAGGACCAGCCGGGGCCCCGCTCCCCGTCGCTCCTCAGGGAGGCCCCCGCGGGCCGTGGCCACCCGAGGCCCGCCGCCGCTGAGGCGCTCCGGAGAAGCGCAGGCCCAGCCCCGCTCACCATCCCAACGGCTCCCGGCAACCGCCCCCCTCATTGGCCAGCGCTCCTGCTCCTCAGGGAAATCGCGAGGGCTGATTGGCCGAGGTTCAGCTGGGGGGCGGGACAAGCGCCGACATCCTGTATTTCTGTGAATTTCTGTCAATTTCTGTGAATTTCTTCCCGCAGCTCCGATGGCTTAAAATAGAGACACTTTATTTTAAATACAATCTTATATTTGCAGCCACCGAATATTCCCGCAGACATTTCCGCAGCAGCACACGGTAACCTCCCTCTTCTTTTGCCAAGAGATAAATGTGTGAACTGAAGAGCACTCAGTCCATTTACTTTTTTTAAAATTTATTTTTCCATTTAAAGAACATACTAAAAAAGGGAAAGGGGCTAAATCACCGCAAGGTAGAGTATAAAAAGCCGATCCCCACAAATACATCCTATAAAGAGCTGGCTACAGCTGGGCCCAACCCAAACCCTTCCAGCCACCGGGAAGTGGAGATTTAGGTTTGGCCCCTGGTTTTCCCTGGGGAAGGGTGTGAGGATCTGGATCCAAAATGGGCTTTGTGCTGAAAACAAAGAGTGTAAACATCTCACGAGCGCAGACAGCCAGGTTGCTACATGTAAACAGGTTGGCAGCTGGTCCACGGACACAAGCTCAAGATTGTCCACTTAAAAAAGATTGACCTGTGTTTTCTGCCGTTTCCAGAGAAAAAAAAAAAGTGAGGCAGCTCCCAAACGTAGGTACACGTGTGCAAAAATAAATAACTAACGCCCTCTTTCAGTAAAGGCTGGTCTTCTTCATGATCCTCAGGAACTCCTGCTCGTCCACTTCCCCGTCCCCGTCCCTGTCGGCTTCGTCGATCATCTCCTGGAAGAGATTTGTGCTCGGAAATTAGACACGGATTCAAATTATTAGATAAATTCAGAATTAGAACCGCTTTTTAGCAAATTGTATCAGAGGGGACAGCGTTAGCTCAACGTCAGACCTACTATGCTACAAAATATTTGTACTGAACTAGTATATATATATTTATACAAAAATCTGTGTAGAAAATGTGTCATTATAGGAACTGTCCTGGAAGAAACAAAGTTGTTGCCTTTGAATCACCCTAACCCCCTGAAACTGCAATTCCACCCAGGTGGTTTCGACAGCCGTGTTCTGTTATCCCATCCCTGAGCCTGGAATCCCTTTCCCAACCCCACATTGACCAAACCTCTTCCATTTCTGCCAGCTGAGACGTAGACTGTGACCATTTACACAGGTTTTAAACAAATGCAAATATGAAACCCAAGTAGAACCATAGAATTTTCCGGGTTGGAAAGGACCTTTAAGATCATTGAGTCCAACCATCAACCTAACCCTGATAAACCATCACTGACCCATGTCTCTAAGCTCCATATCAACCCGGCTTTTGAATCCCTCCAGGGATGGTGCCTCAACCCCTGCCCTGGGCAGCCCATTCCAAGGCTTCATAACCCTTTCTGTGTACAAATTGTTCCCAATCTCCAATCTGAACCTCCCCTGGCGCAACTTGAGGCCGTTTCCTCTTGTCCCATGGCCTGTTCTTTGGGAGAAGAGACCGACCCCCCTGGCTGCCCCCTCCTTTCAGGGAGTTGGAGAGAGCCAGAAGGTCTCCCCTCAGCCTCCTTTTCTCCAGGCTGAACACCCCCAGCTCCCTCAGCCTCTCCTCACAAGACTTGTGCTCCAGACCCCTCACCAGCTCCATTGCCCTTCTCTGGACCTGCTCCAGCCCCTCAAGGTCTCTTTTGTGGTGAGGGGCCCAAAACTGGACCCAGCCCTCGAGGTGGGGAAGTAACACATGAAGGTGACACGGGGCGATGGGGACCTTCCCATGGCCAGGACACAGGGAGGCAGAGGGGGAGCCTCACTCCGTAATGTTGTTTCCAGTGCTGGGTACAGACCTGCAGCTCTTCATCCGTGAGATTTTCCCCCAGTTCCTTGGCGACACGTTTGAGGTTTTTGAAAGAGATTTTGCCGGTTTCATCGTCGTCAAAGAGTTTGAAAGCTTTGAGAATCTCCTCTTTGGTATCTTTCTCAGCCTTAAAGAAGTAAGCGTAAGTTTAAGGAAAGAAAAGTAGTGGTTATGTTGTAAGTAACACTCAAAGTTATAAAAGAGAAGTATCAGAAAGACAGAGAACCTCTCTTAAGAGGAAATTTAAAGCCCAGCCAGCAGGACGTGTGTGTACAAAAGCTGATGCTACAAGAGACAGAGTGATGCTTCCTGAAGCTCAGGGCTTCAGGGATTTTTTTTTCCCTTCATAGCTAGCAGATGCCTTTGGGATTACAGTATCAGGATCTTCCACTGTTAAATATCTGGGTTTACTCAACTTTTTTTTTTTTTTAAATTTTTAAAATCAGAGATTTCATCTGGAAATGTCTTAAAACTCCAGAAAAGAAAAATACAGTGCGTTGCTACAGTCATCCATGTCACACATCAACACCCCGACAGCTTCCCACAGCCCAGAGCTGGGTTCACTCTGTGATAAAAATCTTGATTTTGTATTTTCCCTTTTCTCATGCACACATAAAACCCTGATTGCAAAATAATCATTTTAACCTTACCTTGAAAAATGAGGTAGGGCAGTCCCTGTCTTAGAATTCTAACTTTTATATATTTTGTTGTTAAGATTAAAACAGTGCTTTCATCCCCCACCAAAACTGAAAGGAAACAAAAGGTACTGACCCATTTTCAAAATTGCTTTTCCTTTGACTTTTAAAATTTACTCACCATCTTCTGTGTCATCACTACCAAGAAGTCACTGAAGCTGATTTTTCCTGTTCCTTCCTTATCGATATCTGATATCATTTTCTTGATCTCTTCTTTTTTAGGTTCAAACCCTAGTGCTCTCATGGCCACCTGTCAGGACAAAAAAAAAAAATTATAAATCATACAAAACTATAAACAAAAGCACAGGGGGAGGGGAAGAGAAAGCAGCAGACTCAGAGCAAGGCTACGCTGCACACATCGAGGGCACATCGAGCTGCAGAGAACAGACAGGCAATCATTGACATTTGGTTCACTAGTTAACTCAGAAAGTTCCTAAACACATTCTTACCACCTCATCCACCACTCCCTGCTCAGAACGGGCAAGAATTCAGAGGGAAAGGCTAGCATTCCCTTTGCAGTGAGAAACTAGACACTGAATAATAATAATTAACAAAAAAGAGCTTATTTATTGCCCTGTTGTAAGCAAGATGGTTAAAGGGAACACCCAGAAATGCCTCAACAAAATAACTTGAAGACAAGTGGCTCCAAGAGAGAAGTTTCCATCATACGTGCAACTCTACCGAACTCCAACAACCTGCTCTGGTGGCACAAAGAAGTAGAGTCTTCAGCTGTTAGACCACTGGGAACTTAAATCAGTTAATTTTTCATTCTAGTGACAAAAATCTTTTTCAAATGAATGTTGAGAAAACACAATTCTGAAAGCAAAATAAGTCCTAAATTGCTGATGACTCTTCTTCCCAAAGGGCAGGGGTGAGGAGGGACCAAAAATATTTTGCAATAAATAAAAACATGAATAACATTGTTGTATTCCAAAGCTTGGGCAACCTAATTTGCTTAGCACGCAATCCTCAACAACACATAGAGAGGGGAAAAAACACACACCTTTTTAATATGCACAAACCCTTTTTGATGTTTTACTAACAGAGAAGGAGACAGTACAGAAAATGCAGAACTACCAATATGTTTCGGCCAGCCTGGTCCTAAAGACAATTATAGCTCTTTACTGGTGCTATTGGTTAAGAGAAGAACCTGTTGACAGCAAGGTTTTATGCTGGCAGAAATAATAAATCTCTCCTTTCCTGTTTCAGAGCATTTAGGCATTTATGCCCCAATTACTTTATAACCCCAGTAGAGCTGTGCTTCTAGCACCAGGACAACACTTACCTTTAGCTCCTTAACGTCTATGTTCCCGGTGCCGTCTGTGTCAAACAGGTCGAAAGCCTCCCGGATCTCCTGCTTCTGCTCCTCGGTCAGCTCCAGCTTGGGACTGGCTTTCTTCCTCTGGGAGGCGGCTCCGAGCGAGGGCTTCTTCAAGCTGGAGGCCTTGGCACAGCAACACAAGAGCAAAGGAGGATCAGAACCGCCGCCGCCAGACTCGGGCCCGGGAAGGGGCGGGTGAGGCCCGTAGGACAGCGGCCGCCTCAGCCTCCAGAGAGGCCGCTCCGGACTGACAGCGGCCTCCTCCGCAGCCCCGCCGCCGGGAGGCCGGATGGGAGCGGAGCAGGGCCCGAGGCCCGCTCCTGCCGCCGGGGAGGGAGGGGAGGGGAAGCGCCGGGCCGGGCCGCACTCACCATCCCGGCGGCCGGCGCCCCAGGGCGGCTCCAATCCTGGCAGGCCGAGACTCAATGCCGCCCTTCCCCATTGGCTGATGCCCCTACGCCGTCGCTATGGCAACGCTCACTCCGATTTGCTGGCCAGCCGGGCGCGGGAGGCGCTGAGGCCAAAGCGATTGGCCAACGCGCGGCTGGGGCGGGGCCAAGAGGGGACGGACCGGAGGAGACGCCCCTCTCCACCTTCCGTCAAAGGCGATTGGCCGAAGGGAGGTGGCCGCGGGCCAATCAGCGAGAGAGAGCCGGCTAGCGCGATGCTCAGCCCAGGGCGGGTGGGAGGTGAGGCGGTGGGAGTGGGCGGGGTTTGCTGGAAGCGGCCGCGCCGATTGGTGGACGAGAGGATAAGGGGCGGGGCCGGCAGTGAGGGCGGGCAGCGAGGGGCCGTAGGGCGCTGGCGGTGCGGTGAGCGGAGAGGGGCCGGGCTGAGGGGGCTGAAGGGGCTGAGGAGACCCGGCGGGTCCTGGAGGTGCGGGCTGGAGGCAGCAGGGCCCGGGGGGACCGTGAGGGAGCCGGGGGGGTGAAGCAGGTCGTGGGGGCTGCGGTGCAGGGGAGGCTGTGGGGAAGATTGTTAGGGGAGGCCGCGGGGAGGAAGGGCAGGTGGAGAGGGGTGTGAGGAGGGGGGTGTGAGGAGAGGGGAGGTGATTCTGCCCCTCTGCTCTGCGCTCCTGAGACCTCACCTGGAGCTCTGTGTCCAGCTCTGGAGTCCTCAACATAGGAAGGACATGGAGCTGTTGGAATGTGGAGGGCCAGGAAGGTGCTCAGAGGGATGGAGCATCTCTCCTGTGAAGACAGGCTGAGAGAGCTGGGGTTGTTCAGCCTGGAGAAGAGAAGGCTCCGGGGAGACCTTAGAGCAGCCTTTCAGTACCTGAAGGGGCTACAGGAGAGATGGGGAGGGACTCTTTGTCAGGAAGTGCAGTGACAGGACAAGGGGTAACGGTTTTAAATTGGAAGAGGGGAGATTTAGATTAGACACCAGAAATAAATTCTTTGCTGTGAGGGTGGTGAGAGCCTGGCCCAGGTCGCCCAGAGAAGCTGTGGCTGCCCCATCCCTGGAGGGGTTCAAGGCCAGGCTGGATGGGGCTTGGAGCAACCTGGTGTAGTGGGAGGTGTCCCTGCCCAGGGCAGGGGGTGGCACTGGGGGGGCTTTAAGGTCCCTTCCAACTCTGATCATTCCATGATTCTGTGAAAGCTGGGGTGGGTGTGGAGGGCAGCTGGAGGGGTGGGAGGAGGGTGGGGGGTGCTGAAAGAGCTGGAGAGAAACTGGAGACTGAGCAGTTCATAAATTATACATTGCATTTTGGAGAGTGGCAAGGCCTCTGTAAAGGGAGATGAGGGGGTGACTGGAGGATGGGTCACCTGGTGCCCTTACTTTCAAACCAGCTTGGTGTTCCTGGCTGAACAGACACCAATCCTGCCTGGTTTTTGGCTTTTTCCTTGCTGTTTCAAAGGGCTTTTCAGAAAAATAAAAAACCAAGGGCGCCAAACGGGGTAGCTTGCGGGGAGCCAGTCCAGCAGATGTATCTGCTTGCATGAGGCACAGTACTGTGATAATTTTATAGTGGCATCGGTGTAGCTGGGCCTGGATCTCGTCCAGTTGTGTTGGCACTAGTATTCGTGACGTGAGATGGGTCAAAGAGCTGCTCTGGCTGAAAACCAACTCGGGCAGAAAATGATTAATTTTCAGCTAGTCATGGCCTTGATCCATCTCGGTGCCTGAACAGCAGGAGACACTGGGAAGCGCTGACCAGGAATACAGAGGATCACGTCAGCCTCTAAAGCAGTAGTTTGTCATAGCCATGGTTTAAAGTGACCATAGAGCCATCCCACGTCTCAGTGTGCAGCTTGTCTTTATGCTGGAAACAGGTCTGAGTAGGCGTGCTGTCTTCTTCTGCCTTAAATTCTACCCCACACAGTAGGATCCCAGCTCAGTGGGGAATTTTCTTTGCTATTGCTGGGAGGAATAGCGTATTTTAATGAAATTGGTGGGATCAACAGCCTGGGATGTGAAAACTTGGAAAATCTCACCAGTGGCTCCCCTCTCATCTCCGATGGGGGGTGTTACACCCCGTGCTGTGTCTGCTGCTGTGGAACAGCAGGGAATGGTGCTGCTGAAGTGCCTGGACTTCAGATTTGTTTTCTTGTTCCAAACACCCTTGAACAACTTTATTTTTGAAGAGGACATTGCCATAACCTGCAATTGTGTTTATGTTATTTGGAGTATAAATATTCAGACTTAGAGAAAGTGCATGAAGCTAATATTAGCTAAAATAAGATGGTGCCTTTGTTATCAAGGATATTTTATTATATTAAAATTATGCCTTTGAGGAAGCTGTTTGATGTCACTGTTACACTGGTACTGCTTATTTTGTTCAGGGTGGCAGAGAGAATTAGCTCTTTCTTTTCATGCTGCTCTTTAGCATAATGGCTTCAAACCTTGACTCCTATAACTACAAATGTGTTGGAAAAAAAAAGGTGGTTCGTGTTGATGGCAGGCTTAAGTAAAGTATTGTATTGTGAATAAAATAATATTCTCCTTTTTAAAGGAATCGGGTTGGTAGTGAATCATCTGAGAAATGGCCACACGCCTCAGATCGGTAAGTTGAGGACTTAAATGGTGCTTTATGAAGCAGAAATGTATTTTCATAAATTTTTTTTCTGAACATTACTAGGGAAGACATGAGACTGTTCCTGCATTCATACAAACTCTAGAGATATTGGTGGGGAAAACGTGATTTTTTCCAAAGAACTATTTTATTTTCTGAACTATTTTCTCATTAATTCGTACAAAGCTTATGGAAGAGCAGTGCATCTCAGACATTTAGAGAGCATGAACAAGCTCTTACCTCTTCACAGCACAACCCTGGATATGTAGTAATTCATATCCTAAAATCAATGTAATCATGTGTAGGCTGGCTTTCTACCTGCATTTTTTAAAACAGAAACAGCTGATCAATCCAGGTGCAGTTATCCTGGTTCTGGTCATTGAGCTGGGTCATTCAACACTTTCCCAAGAGGAGTGTGTACCAGATTGTGTTTCATGTTATAAATGTGAACTAAAGATTGTTTAAATAGTCTGCTTCTCATCACTGGTTAGGATAGTGTCCTTTCCTTGGGTGAGTGGAAAACTGTCATACAGAAAACCCTGGATTGTCTCATCCGTGTGGGTAGAAAATGATGGTGATGTTCAGAGCCAGACAGAGGGTGTCACTCTGTTGCTGCAAAACTTCTGTTCAGCACATCTGAGCGCAGTGTGTGGTTTGGGGCTCTCATTTTACGAAGAACATGCTGGAATGAGAAGGGAAGACAAGTAAAAAATAGTGATGGAATGGGACGAGTGCCTTCTGAGGAGGAGCTGAGAAGGCCAGACCACTTGACAAAGAGAGGGCACTGCAGAGGGGAGGGGTGTCACGGGGTTCAGAGGATCAGGAAGGTGGTGAGTAAAGCAAATGCAAACCTGTTGTAGTGGGGGAATGCAGGGAGAGAGAATGGCAGAGAGTCCCTAGACTTGCATATTCCTTCTGTATCGTCTGTTCTCTTGCAACTATCTGAACCAAACAGACTGCTTTTTACAAATCACTTTAATCAGACTGTGCTTTGCATGCACCGTTCTAAATAACTGCTTCTGCTGTAATGTAACTGAGCACCTGCAGTGAACTCTTCTCATTCTGTTGTGGATAACTGACACTTTCCAGTAGAGGCTTTGTTTAAGGATGTAGCACTTAGAAATTATCATCTTTGCGTGGCTTCACTGGGTTAAAATTCCCTTCAGCTCGATGGTGTAACTGCAGAGGAGGGGGTTGTGTGGCAACAATAAGGAGCAAATCTATTCCCCACCAGGACAGAGCATTCTTTGTACAAAAGCTTCCTCAGACCTGCCCTTGTGTGTTCTGTCTTGGCAGCAAGGGCTTCAGTCTCAGCCCAGTTAGAGGAGCGACCAGACGAATCTGTTAATTAGTGACTCTAGCCATTGATTTTTAAAAGCTTTAAAAAAGAAAGGAAGAACTAATGACTAACTTAAAAGGATGAGCCTTGCCTGTACCCGATTGCTTTCCTGCCTGGGAGAAACCTAAGTTTCACATGCTCTGAAAATAATGTTGTCCTTGCCAACGGTGACAGTTTTAGCATGGTGAAGTATCTGTGCCGTGTGGCTGAAGCCAATTTGGTTTGCTTTACCATCAGGGCAGAGTTTCTCAGACCAGTCCTCTTTTCCTTCCCTCCTCCATGAGCCACTCAGTTATGAGGCAGAGCCCTGCCCAGTACAAACCAGCATGTGAGCCTTGTGGGCCATTAGTATTTCTGAACTTATAAGTTACTGTGATAGCACAGACGTATTGAAGAGTCTTTTGGTATCTGAATTTAGAGTCTTCTAATTAAAATAGCTACTGACTAGTGCAAAATTCCAGCACGCTAAGATCTTGGGAAGTTCAGATCAGTTTGCTTGCCTGGTATGTCTGCTGGCTGAAGGGTTTTTCTCCCCATCTCTGCAGGGTGGTAAGAAATGTGTGGTGATCGGTGGGTCAGGATTCTTGGGCCAGCACATGGTGGAGCAGCTCCTGGAGAAGGGTTACACCGTCAACGTGTTTGACATCCAGAAGAGATTCGACAACGACAGAGTGCAGTTCTTCCTGGGAGACCTTTGTGACAAGGAGGTACAGACTAAGGACACTCCATGGTGTGGGTGGATAGAAAGGATATCTGTTTAAACAAACGTTTGTTGCCTGAAGCGCTAAAACACCTGATGGTGTTGCACAGGTGGTAAAAGGGTACCTAGACATACCCCCAACCTTTCCCAGTGAAGTTGGTAGCTTGAGCAGTTTTCTGTGGAAACCTCATCTAGAACATTTAAAGAAATATACTTGATGTCTGCTTGAAGCTGGGAAGAACAGAACGTGTTTCTGTGTTGTGATTTGCATTACTGTTAGCTCAGATCTACAGTGTAATTACAGCCACTGTTGGTAATTGCAGGTGGGTGCTCTCCTGGCTAACCTCAGCTGCAGAAGGCATTATTCCGAGCAGTTAAGGCACACTAAAACCTCTTGCCTTAAGTCATGTGTGTGAGCCTTGGTGAAAACCTTTGTGTGCACCCAGAAGAGACGTCTCCCCACCAGCACAAAGTCTCACATCTCAGAGCTTTGTGCCAGTCCCCTCAAACACAGACACTGCCACGGGGTAGTGCTGGCTGTTAAACCTGCTGCTCCCTGAGTGTTCTAACTCCTGTCTCCAGGTCATTTTGAGTCTCAAACCTGCACTTCAGACTATTGCAAGTAGTTAAGTCTAGGTGGCCTCTGGGTCTCAGAAAGTTCCCAGGTTCTTCTCTGAAGAGAAAAGATGATGTGGTGCTTTTCTGGCTAGCAAAAAATGAAAGGACACTGTGAAGATCCTGGACACTAATCCTATTCCAGCTGCTCATCTTTATGGAAGGAACATGACTTGGAATTTAGCGGTTTTATTTCCATGAGAGAAAACCCTGTGTTTTATTTCCTTCCTGTTTATTTGTTCTCAGCAGGCACTATTGCTGTTGCTTCATTGCTGTCTCGCGTGATGTATCTTCCAGGCTTTGCTGCCAGCTTTACAAGGTGTGTCAGTGGCATTTCACTGCGCGTCGCCAGCACCTTCAAGTGACAACAGGGAACTGTTTTATAAGGTGAATTTTATAGGAACCAAAGCAGTCATTGAAGCCTGCAAAGAAGCTGGAGTGCAGGTAAGGGTAGAAAAGCACACGGAGACGATAAGATGCTGATGTGACTTTATAACAGTTGCAGCGTGGACCAGTTTTAATCTAGTTTGATAGAGGACCAAGGGTCTCAGATACTGAATTCTTACTTTTTCTATGAAAATGAGTAGAGACTACTAAGAGAGAGACTCCATTGGTCTTGGCTTGGTGTCTAGTGCAAGCTCATCCCATGTTTGCCCCACAAAACCTGCACGCTACAATCTTCCTGGCTGACTGCAGGAAAAGCATCCATTGAAATTTTCCCTACTAGACGTCTGGGAATCACCCACGGGAGAACTGTGACTGACAAGTGGATTCTTTTATGTTGTAATAAGAGGACAGCTCTAAGGATAGCTTATCCAGCAGTGGAAGTGTTCATGGCATCTATTACCTCCGTGAATTCTCTGACATATAATGAAAGGAACACACTTATGCCATAATGTCACTGTAATTTGGTTTTAAAAGTCATTTGCCCACAAAAGAAAGAGCCAGAGGAAACCAGGCTGCTGTTCAGGCAAGTGTTTTGGTTTGTTGGGGTTTTTTTTCCCTCAGCTGGTATTGCGGGAGTTTTAATTTAAATTCCTAGCAAATTTTCAAGCGCAGTGCATGTGAAGATCCCTTACTTATTTTGGGCAGAGATGTTGCCTCCAAAGCCTGCATTTTGTGCTGTGTCCAGGTACAAATACGCAGGTAATAATGTTTAGAATTAAATTGTGTGTATCACATGGGAGTCCCAGCCCCACAGTTGGTGGTTTGGTTTTTTCCCCACCTTGGTAAAAAGCTGCTGTAGGAAATGGGCCACGCGGTGTTTCCCTTCGGGCTCAGTCTGGATCCTCTCTGAGGGAGGAGTTAAGTCTTGTTGGGACTTGTTGGATCTCCTCATCTTTCTATTACAATGTGGATCTTGTTTAAAGCCACATGTCTCTCATTACTCAAACACATCACTGACTTCCTGTTTTAAATCCACTACGGTATGTTTTTATCCAACAAAAACATCCAAGATCAAAATTATTTTTTTGTTTAATCTACTGTTATTGTCAAGATGAGTAAATATATCTTAAAAACACTCATTGCATGTTAAGTGCTAAAATGTGCCAAGCCAAGTGGGTGCTGTGCTTTTTCCTGGAGATATTTTCTCCTTAACTGGCTGCTTTGGGTGTTTATTGAAGTGTTTTAATCTCCTTTAGGTAGCACTAAACAATGTGACAATGTCAATTAAAACGAGTGGGAGTTTTCTTACCTGCAGTTTCAGATCACCTCCTGTGAGCCCATGTTCTTCCAGACTTAGTTTATTATCTGTAGAATCAGTTGATTAAACGCTGTTATTGTCTTTACTCAGCCTTCGTAAATAATGACCCTTTTGTCTTAGGCTTTAAACGACTGTTCTCTTTCACATCTATTGCAGAAACTGGTGTTAACCAGCAGTGCCAGTGTCGTTTTTGAGGGCACAGACATAAAAAATGGATCAGAAGACCTCCCTTATGCAAAAAAACCTATCGACTATTACACAGAGACGAAGATCCTCCAGGAGAAGGTATTTGTCATCATATGGTAAATGACGTTATTTTCAGTGCTTACAACTGCCCTCCTAAAAGTAGGGCATGCCCTTGGGGGCACAACAGGCTCTTCAAGACTGAACAGATCTCTCTTGTTCTCCAGAATCTCTCTTGCATTAAAAAGAAGTATCTCGTTCTTACAGTGGCAGAGAAAATGTGCACAGAATCCTGCAGAGGTAGCAATGCCTGCTGGAGTTCTCTGACTATAACTGAAATTGAAAATTCCCTTCTTGTAGACAAACCTGCCAGATTTTAGCCCTCCTCTTCTCAGCGTGGAGACTTGTGGGCTGTGGATTGGTTTGTTGTGTCACAGAGAAGGACGGGGGCTGCCGTTTGTGTCTTTCACAAGGGCCCCCCATCCTTTTCCCTGGTGATGCTGATGGGTTGGGGAGGCTTTCCTAGAGGCTGGCTCACTGTCCAAATATATCAGTCAGCAGTTGTGTCCTCCTTGGCTGCTGGTACTCCTAAGTAGTGTATTCACTTAATAAAAAGAGAATTCATTAAAGCTGTGACATAAATTACCAGGGAAGCTGAATGAAATAGTGTGTAATGCTACAGAGGTTGTTTCTAGAGAAAGAATAAGAGAATTGGCAGAGCTGTTGCTTTCACTGGAAGAGCCGTGTGATCATGCTGTTTCTGAACTCATCCACCTGCTGGATTTTCTATTAAAAACCCAACAACAACGCATACAAATAAACAAAGATAACCTGATTTGATTATCTTTTTTTCCCCACCAGGAAGTGCTCAGTGCAAATGACCCAGGCAACAATTTCTTCACTACTGCCATCCGTCCCCATGGAATATTTGGTCCTAGAGACCCCCAGCTGGTTCCCATCCTCATCCAGGCAGCCAAGAGCGGCAAAATGAAGTTCATAATTGGGTGAGTGAGGCTTGGTCATTCCATAGCCTTCCTTAAAATTGATGCTGAACCTACAAAGCCCTTGTGGAGAATAATATTAAATCAGTAGAGGTGGTGTGGCATGGAAAAAAAAGATGTTTATTTAATTTAATACCACTCCCATGGTGAGTGTTTATAATGCAAAAATAGTGTCTGTGGGGAGAGCTGCCATAGCTTGAGCTGTCTGTGCCTTGTCTGAAGAGCTGTCCTTTTAAACATGAGAGAGCTCAGATTACTTCTTGTTAATTTAATTAATACACACTTCTGGTATTTGAGGTTCTTGCAATTAAAAAGCCTCTGTGGCAGTGTTTCAGTATTTCTGATGATAAGATCAAACATGGTTGCCTCGTTATTGAGCCTTGCAGAGCTTCTAACAGACCACTGAAACTTTAGAGCAAGAAATAGTTCAAGCTACTACTAAGGATATTTTTAATTGATTGTATTATGCTCATGAAAAGAAATGTGCTCTTTAATTTGTAATAGATTTTTATTACATGGAAGGAGCTGGTTTGTGTGTCTGTGTGCACATGGGGTAGAAGGAAGAAAGGCAATAGGTTGTGGGTTTTTTGGTATTGGGGTTGTGGTTTTTTGAGTTCTCCTTATGGTTCCATTCTGAATTGATCTCTCAAGTGATCTGGGAGCAGTAACTCTGTACAAACTCAAGGTTTCTGCTTCGTGCAAGTCTGCATTCACTCCCAGCTCAGACCTGCACTCCTCGTTGGAGTTTCCCTACCGCTACCCAGACCCGTACATCCCTTCCAAGAAAGCAGATAAAGCCATTCATCCACAAACAGAGGAAATGAAAGTGATTCTTTCTCAGAATGCTGGGTTGCAGCAACACTGGTTTGTGGCCAAATGAGTGTGGGGATGGTTTTGTAACAAACCAGTTGTTTCATTTTGCTGGACTCTTGAAAATGATACAGAGATTCACTGTCATTTTCTGTACCTGTGCAGAAATAGATTTAGCACAGAGGGTTAAATCTCTTGTAGCTGTGGCTGAAGTTGGCGTGTGGAGGGAGTGAGTTAGAATTTCATGAGCCGAGAAATTCATAATTGAAAGCTTGTCCTTAAATGACTGACTCTGTGCTAGTTACCACTCTCTTTCCATTTGTTCTGCTTCTGTGGATCACTCTGCTGATTCTCAGACCTGTAGGATCTGCCACTCCTGGAAACTTGGTAACTTGGGAGGTTTAAAAATGGTACTGTTACGTTACAGGAATGTAAACTTTGAGGGCCTCCGCAAGAGCTGAGACAATAACAGCCTTTCCTCTGTCTCCAAAAATAATACATTTCATCTCTCTGGCAGGGCATAGCCTGATGTTGCAGGACAAGAGAGCAGGAGAATCATAGAACCACAGAATGGTTAGAGTTGGAAAGGACCTTAAAGATCATTGAGTTCCACCCCCTGCCCTGGGCAGGGACACCTCCCACCAGACCAGGTTGCTCCAAGCCCCCTCCAACCTGCCCTTGAACCCCTCCAGGGATGGGGCAGCCACAGCTTCTCGGGGCAACCTGGGCCAGGCTCTCACCACCCTCACACCAAACAAGTTCTTCCCCACATCTCAGCTCCATCTCCCCTCTTTCAGTGTCAAACCCTTCCCCCTCCTCCTATCACTCTCCTATCACTACATTCCCTGATCACGAGTCCCTCCCCATTCTCCTGTAGCCCCCTTCAGGTACTGGAAGGCCGTTATAAGGTCTCCCTGGAGCTTTCTCTTCTCCAGGTTGAAAGAAGAGGAAACTTGGAATAAATATATCTTGTGTTCAAGTCCTTTCTTTTACCACAAGCAGATTTTTTTTTTTTCTTTTTTTTAGCCTTGAGGCTAAACTTCTTCCTTTTGTCTGTGCAGGGATGGAAAGAACCTGGTGGACTTCACCTACGTGGAAAATGTGGTGCACGGCCACATCTTGGCTGCAGAACAGCTTCGGGAGGGCTCTCCCCTGTGTGGGAAGGTAAGGAAGGACCTTGGGAGGGGGTGTCTCCATTGACAAGCGTCGCCTGGCTTCATGTGGCCATGGGTGGAAGTCCAACACACAAATGAGTCAGGTTTTTTCTGGCCCTGGGCACAAGGAATGGTGGCCTGTCTGGTGACAGCTGTGTGCAGCCGCGTGGGCTGAGATGTGGGAATAGACTTTAACTTCACGCTGTAAAACTCCTTGTGCAAGGAAATGCAGCCAGAATTGTGGGCAGCCAAGTTGTGTACATATGAAACATAGTTATTTAGTTTTTGCAATAGAGTTGAGGACAGGAGAGACTTTTATGGATTTTCATGGCACCGCCGTGCTCTGGTCGTGAGGATGCTTTCACGTGTTTGTGTTGTGTCACTTGGTTTGTTTGACCATTTCTCAGCAATCTGAACCTCTGGAGTGTCGGAAGTAGCTGGTTTTCTTAGCAAAGAAGGGGTTCATTGCTTTTCAGACAGAGGTGCAAAGCAGTTTCTCAAGAAAATGTGTTCTCAGTCAAGCCAGGGACATCAGTCCCTGTGTGAACATGAGACAAATTTGTGAAAACCGCAATGATTTTGTCATCTGGCTTTTTGTCTTCCTCTTTTCCAGGCATTTCATATCACAAATGACGAACCAATTCCTTTCTGGGCTTTCATGTCCCGTATTTTGACTGGCTTGAACTACGACCCTCCCAAGTACCACATTCCCTATTGGCTGGCCTATTACCTGGCCCTGTTCCTCTCCCTGCTGCTGTGGCTGCTGAGTCCCCTGCTCACCATCAAGCCCACCTTCACCCCCATGCGGGTGGCGTTAGCGGGAACGTTTCACTACTACAGCTGTGAGCGAGCCAAAAGAGACATGGGCTACAGGCCAGTGGTGAGCTTGGATGAAGCCATAGCCAGGACTCTGCAGAGCTACCCCCACCTCCGCCGGGCCAAGGCCTGAGAAGTCCTAGATGGATTTTTTTTTTCTACTTGATTTCCGTAATTTCTTTGATCTCTTAACGTGAACACTGAAGCAAATTTCACTCACTCTCTGGAACAGGGAGTTTTCCCGAAGTCCCTCCTCCTCCTCACCATTATCGAGACAGTTTTATCTGGGTTGAAAATAAACTCCTGTAGGAGCTGCGCTCACAGTTCTTCTCTTTGATGTGACTTCTTGTTTTGAAACAGCTGCTGAACCCTGTGGACTCTGAATAAACACCCTGTTGTGCCCTCCTCAGCCCCAGCCCAGCACATCAACATTCCTTCATCTCTCTCCACCCTGCTCCTCTGTTTTGTTGCTCGGGTGGTAACAGCCGCCTCTTCTCCTGGCTGCAGACTGGTTAATGAGTACTTCTCCTGGCTGTGGTTTGGCTTTTTTTCTATACAAGAGCCGTGAAGGAGAGGCTCGTGCCAAAAAGGAGTTCTGCCACCACCTCTTAAATCATCGAAGCTGATTTTGTTATTGCCTCCATGATTGGTGGGTGATTTGACTTCTTCATCAGGGGGAAATGTGAGAAAAGGCTTGTCAGGCCTCTCTTTGTAAGGAAGCACCTGCCTTTCTTTTTGCAGGAGCCTGTTTCCATTAAAAAATAACCCAAATAAATCAAGAAGAGATGACATCCTAACTTCGTGTCCCATCTTTGAGAGGGCAGAGCCCATTCTGAACATCTCAGCATAAACAGGATTTTAATCATTCCCTTCTGGCTGGGGGGAGATCTTTGCTGTGGCTGTTGTCAGTCAGCACACACTGTCTTACTGCAGCTCCATCCCTTCCCCTAAGAGCTGCAGTGGTTGGAAGATCCTCCTGCACAAAGCTCTCGTCTGGTCTGACATGTTAATTGCTGGAAATGGTGATTTTTTTTTGTTGCTTTGACCACTTTGTACATGGAAAAAACCTCTTTTCCACAAGAAAATAATTATCATAATGCTATGTTCACCCAGCTGTTGAGTTTGACATGTATATGAAGTGTACTTTACCCTATAATCTTTTTAAGTGCCTCAGTTCTGTTTTGTTTTTAAATGAAGAGTTGAGGTTAGAGTTGGAACTTCCCTCCCTGCCAGTTCCTGCCTCTGTGGCCGTTGGGGTGTTTCAGATTTCAGAGGTACGGGCAGTGCCTCCCTCAATGAGCCTTACCCTCCTCTGGGAGCTCCATACGCTGCTTAGAAATAGTTTTATTTTAACTTATGAGCATTTTCTGGAGGGTTTTATGTTAGTTTTTTTTTTTTCATTTTTTTTTGTTGCTTTGACCACTTTGTACATGGAAAAAACCTCTTTTCCACAAGAAAATAATTATCATAATGCTATGTTCACCCAGCTGTTGAGTTTGACATGTATATGAAGTGTACTTTACCCTATAATCTTTTTAAGTGCCTCAGTTCTGTTTTGTTTTTAAATGAAGAGTTGAGGTTAGAGTTGGAACTTCCCTCCCTGCCAGTTCCTGCCTCTGTGGCCGTTTGGGTGTTTCAGATTTCAGAGGTGCGGGCAGTGCCTCCCTCAATGAGCCTTACCCTCCTCTGGGAGCTCCATACGCTGCTTAGAAATAGTTTTATTTTAACTTATGAGCATTTTCTGGAGGGTTTTATGTTAGTTTTTTTTTTTTCCTGGAAATTTTTACTTGCTGCTTTAATGGCTAGTTGGTTTTACCAACTTTTTCCTTAATTGATCTTGAAGTAGATAGCAGCCAATTCCTTGGGCCAGTTCATGCAGTTCTGCTTTGCACTGCTCAGTCACCAGGGGCATAGCAGCCAATTCCTTGGGCCAGTTCATGCGGTTCTGGTTCGCACTGGTCAGTCACCAGGGGCTTTTTTTTTTTTGTAATTCAGCCTGTAGGGTTAAATATCCAAATCTTGACTTCTAGTGTGCAATTCTTCAGCTGTATGTTGTTCAAAAATAAAGTCCTGTGGTTCCTAGGTTTTCTGGAATCGGTTTGTGTCGTCCCACCCCCCATTTCAGGAGGAGACAGAGGGGGTGTCAGACCCCGTGCGAGGCATCGATGCCCCGGCACAAGTTCGGTGTTTGTGGAGAGACCCTTCCTTCCCTCACTGCTTCTGTAAGCGTGGGTCAGTGCCCAACCTATATTAAAAAAAACCCAACAACCCAAAACATAATTGTGACGTATAAAAAGAACTCCTATGGTGAAACCAGGGCTGGCTGAGAGCTTTATTCCCAAGGTTCTGCTTTAAGGGGTGAGGAAGGGTGGGAGCATGTTTGTTCCTTGCTCCTTTCCATAAAGCTGCACTTCTCATTTTTATAACATAATCAACTGAGACTAAACTCGTAGCTTGCTACTAGAAGAATGGCCTTTTGTGAAAATGGGCAATTGGGAGGTGGCTGCTAAAGCCAGGCTGGTAAGAACAGGAAGCCCTGAGGGACAGACAATGTGTTCTCGTTAAGATGGGGCAGCTTTTGGGACTCGTGGTGCAGGACATCAGAGAACTTCAGCTCCTCATCTGCCAGGGATCTGTCCCAAAGCAGGGACAGCACTGTCCTGCTGAGCGGGCAGGATTGTACTGAAGTGAAAGGAGCAAGTGCTATGGTTACTTGAAGTCAAAAGTAAATGAAAAAAAAAACAACCAACCAACCAACGAACAGGGAAAAGCCCGTTTTGGCCTCTAGATGGCATTTCCCAGCTAGAGCTGCCCTGCAGCTTCAACCAGCCCCAAAAATGCTGTCTCTCAGCCTGTGGACACGGTTCCAGTGGAGGGTTACTCATCTCCCCATGCCTCTGGAGGACTGTCAAGGTAAGAGGTGATGGTGACAACCAGAAGGTGCTGCAGAAACAGGAGGCACTGGGAGTTGGATGCCAAGCAGCAGCCAACACAGTTTCCATGAGGTTTGCTGGAGTTGGGGCGAGCAGTTTCCCAGAGCTGGGCACGGAGAGGAGCGTTGCATCACGCTGGATTGGTTTGACTTGGTCCTCCCTGTGTAATTAGGTCAGTTGCCAGCATTTCTCCTGGCAGGGTGAGTGGCTTCTGTTTTCCCAAACACAAACAGGGGTTGTTGCTGGGCCTCTACCCCCGGCCACAACAGAGGAGGAGCCCTGCTTTGTCCACAGCCTCTTCTACCCCTGATCAAGCCTTTCCACTCCTTTTCTCATCCCAACAAGCACCTGTGTGAGTCCCAGCCCACGTTTTCTGGGCAAGCCAGTGAGATCCTTCTGTGCTTTCCTGCCTGTGATTTACTTGTCACGTCACCTCTTCACAACCTGTGTGTGTGTGTGTGTCACCAAGCAGGAGGCTACACAGCAAAATTGCCATTAACAACATTTCCTGCCAAATATCTGGGGTCAGATGCAGTTGCAATCTTTTCTTCTCAGCAACGCTCACCAGGAGCTGCTGAAGACTTCAAAGGCTTTCCTGGCGCACTCTTGTCAAACTTCTTATCTCTCTCACTTTGCTTTCCTGGCTTTTTCTTGCTGCAGCTCCTAATTTTGCTGACCTGAGACTGGTTTTGGTTTGACAAGCGGTGGGAGAGATGAAGGAGATATCTCCTGTTGCTTACCCTGGAGAAAAGAGAGGGAGGGGAAGACAGAGAGGAATAAAAGTGCTTTTCTAAGTGGAGTTAAGGTAACCAAGAGCCCCATTTCCCCTCTTGCAGAGAGGTTGCAATGGTGCCTGATGCACAGGAGTGTGACAGCCTCAGAAAACCTTCCAGCCTTGCCCTCAGAGTGTGGGGAAAGCTCCCATCCCGACCCACCTCGGTGCCAAAAAGGAAAAAGGGTGGCTTGGTTGTAATTACTTGAAGCAGGGGAGAGGAGCAATTGAAGGAAAAGCAGGTCAGGAATTATCTTGTGTGTCCAGCGAGCAAAAAGGCACAGAGGGAAACCAGAGTCAAGCCGGGGGCGGGTATGAAGGAGGTTTCAGGGGGAGGATAACGTTTGCCTTGCACAGGCGTGTGGTTACCACTGTGGAAGCTCTGTACCTTCAATGACTTGCCCCATCTGGAGCACTGGGTCCAGTTCTGGGCTCCCCAGTTCCAGAAGGACAGGGAACTGCTGGAGAGGGTACAGCAGAGGCTACAGAGATGCTGAGGGGCCTGGAGCATCTCTCTGATGAGGAGAGGCTGAGGGACTTGGGTCTGTTCAGTCTGGAGAAGAGAAGGCTGAGGGGGGATCTGATCAACACCTATAAATACCTAAAGAGAGGGTGTCAAGAGGATGGGGCCAGTCTTTTTACAGTCATGCCCAGGGACAGGACAAGAGGGAATGGGCACAAACTTGAAGATAAGAAGCTCCACCTAAACATGAGGAGGAACTTCTTCACTTTGAGGGTGGCAGAGCCCTGGCAGAGGCTGCCCAGGGAGGTGGTGGAGTCTCCTTCTCTGGAGACATTCAAACCCCACCTGGACATGTTCTTATGGGACCTGCTCTGGGTGGCCCTGCTCTGGCAGGGGGTTGGAGGAGATGATCTCCAGAGGTCCCTTCCCACCCCATACCACTCTGTGATTCTGTGACTTACACATACAGGGACTTACGATCTGTTACAGCGCTCAAATGCAGCCTTCTGTGCTCAAACTCCAAGTCTTTGGGTAAATCCTGGTGTGTGTTGTTGAAATCTGCTGCTGCTGGTGATCCCCCAGCACTGGTAGGAGATCCCACAGCTTTCCGTGCTGCGGAGCCGAGCGTGGCAGGAGGGGGCTGGCCCCTGCTCCTCCACACAAGTGTTTTCCCAGTTTCGCTGGTGCTTGTGCAAGCCTTTGGAAAGTGCCAGCCCCGCAGATGCGGGCGATGGTGCAACTCGGTCCTTATTATGGGAGAAGGAAAGCAGGTTGTTTGCCTGGGAGCCCGGGGGAAGCTGGCTGAGCTGGCGATGAGAAATAAATAGGCATCTCCCTGCTTGCAACAGAGCGTGTTTGAGGTGTCTCTGGTCCCGGATTGCACATGTTTTCCTGTCCTAGCAATGCTGCCAGCCTGGCACCTACCCCAGCCTCTCCTTTTCGCCCAGTGTTTGCTGACAGGATGATTTATCTGGGTGCAGAGAGCTCCTGACCTCCTGTGCAGGTGTGTCTTCCTGACCACGGGGGAGATGATGGTGTTTTAGCACTAAGACACACGATTCTCTGCTGCCTGCTGTGAGGGAGGTGAGGGCTGGCCTTTTGGCAGCGCTTCGTAACGACGCCTCGTGAAAAACCAGTTTGATTCCCTCGTAACAAATGGGTGTAGTGGTTTTACACCCTTCCACTCATCGTGGCTCTACTCGGTCTCGGCTGAGGGTTTGCTTTTCTGTCCCCTTGGCGAAGGCCCAGAGGCTGGGTGGCTTAGTCACCTCCATCCACCTTCTGTGCTGGGATGGGGCCGGGTCGTTACACGGGAGAAAGTGTTATCAAAAAAACAGGAAACGTTCCGCTGGAGTTCAGTGCTCTGGGGTGGCGTTGACTAATATTTCATGAGTACTCAAAAAAAAAATGTGAAGGATGTATTGCAGTCAGTGTGGAGATACAAGCTGGGCTGGTCAGGGAGCCCGCCTGCCTGCGGGCAGGAGCCTGTCGCTGTCGTAGGAACGACAAGAATTGCTGTGCTGCTTTGGTGCAACCATCATTTCTGCCTGGATTTCCAGAGCTGAGCAGGTTCCCACCTCGTAGACATCCCTGGCTCTGCCCCCCTGGGAAGGAGCACGCT